CTTATCCTTCCGCTTCTGCTTCCGACTCCGACAATCTAGTTTTCACTAGCTCATAAGCGGAACGTAAGCGACGGAGTCGTAAGCGGAGTCGGAAGAAAATGGAAACGTTCTGATTCTTCTGACTCCGATTCCGTCGCGCTTATGACTCCGCTTACGACTCCGATTTTTGATTTTCACTAGGTCATAAGCGCTCTTACGACTCCGCTTACGACTCCGACTCCGACTCCGTCGCTAGTGAAAACCAGCCTTTAGGGAGACACAAACGTATTTTATTAGTGAATTAGATATTCCAGTCGTGACTTTGTGAAACTGGAGGCAGGATATGAAGATTTCAGCAACACATTTGTCCCGGGGGAACTCCCATATGAAAAAGGGGATGCTAGTTGGAAATTTTGAATTAAACCCCTAAAGGAGAACAATCTGGGCATGGCCAAACCTTTTTTGACCTCTAAGAGACCATATTAAACTTAGATTATATGAATCGAGTAAATAAAAACGAATTGAAAAATATATAATTTTTTAACATTTCTTCGCGTGCAACCCTAAAAGAGGCCTTTCTGGCTAAATACAGGGTGTTTCAAAAGTTCGTTCCGATTGTAAATTGTATTTTGCGCAAAGCATTTAATGCTTCTTTAGGCAAATGTAAACTGTTTCAGGCAAGACATTTATCTAAATAACAGTTCAAAGCAATTTCAAACTAAAATTTGAAGAAATTCTATTTTTTTAATTTTTGCCCCAACTGTACACGTACGCGAGTTTTTTCCCGCCATACTTTTCCTGCCCATTTTGTAGGTTTTCTATTTTGGTATTTTTAACGTTTTCTTTTATTTTCTCTGCTCCTTCATGAAAATGAAGGTCTACAATGTTTGTGCTAGAGCTCAGGCATCTATTTTTATGGTCTTCTGGCCATTCAGTCCAAAAACAATTGCCAAGTTGTTGAAGAAGTCTGAACGATGATCGAACAAGTGGTCAAAAGTAAAGACCTTAGAAGACAAACCAAGGAGTGGATGGCCGTTTTTTCACAAACTGTGTGAGAAATATTATCGAAAAAGCTGTTAGTATATGCGTAATAATTCCACAAAACAGAAAGGTAAAAAAATTTCAACTTCACATTATCGATCAAAGTTTCGAGCACAACGGTATAGGGATAAGTTACCTAAAAAAGTTGGAAAGCATTGAAGAGAAAAAGGCGATGCACACTTCATGAAAGCATGGTGTCAGAAGGATTTGTCAACTTTATACCAAAGGAGGACCGGACGGCAAACTCACGTGATGTGAACCCACTAGAGACCATCTGGATTATCGAGACGAGACAACATACAAAGATCCAGCCCTCAAAACACTGGACGAGCTAAGACAGTGACTACGCTCCGCCTGGAAGAGTGTGACTTTGGACACGCTTTGGGAGCTCGTACATTCTATACCTCACCGCTTAGAAAATGTAAGAAAACATACAAGAAGAAATTCTGTTTACTAATATTTTAGTTATTTAATGTGAAATGAATAATGAATAACCTACTAAGTTTTACAAAAGGACTTAAATCGGAACGAACTTTTGAAACACCCTGTATATTGTCGTTTTGCCCAGAACACCCTAAGTGAGACCAAAATCCGAAAGTAAACACCTCTCAGCGAGACGACGAGTATTCCGGCCCCTTCCATATAGAAGTCAACTCCGGGACATTTGTATATTCTCATTTTTGAATATTTTGAATATTTTCAGCCTAAAATCTGCAGAAAAATAAGGATATTAAGCCTGGGCTGGAAAACATTCTTACGAAAAAAGAGTGTACCAGTGAAATTTAATATCCTACATAGAACACTAGCGAGTTGGGCCCAGTGTGAAAAAACATTGCAGGAAACCATCACATTCACGGACAAAGGAAAATCGACTAGGTATTCAGATCGAGAAGGCACTTTGGCGAAAATTAAAGAACGGAAAACTCTTATTTAGCCGCGCAATAAAGAACTTTTCGTTTCAAAAGAGGTTAAAGAAAATGCTCTAGCATCAGAGGGCAAATCCTACCGACTATAAACAAAAAACATCGGAGAAAATCAACATTGAGTGTGAAACAAGCGGGAAAAATCACATATTAAATTTGCTCCGTCAAAATCAAGAGGGGATCCTCTCTTGTCAAAATTTAGAACCCCCCAGAGTATAATCTACCCGCTTGAGAAAGAACACTTACTGGAACAAGCAGCATTTTAGCGGGAAGTAAGAGTCGTGTGTTGCCTACCGACCACTTTTTCATTAAAAAACAATTTAAACGAGAGTTGGAAGAGGGCTTTGGACAGCGATTTCCCGAGCATGCGCAGCTCATGAGACTATCCCTTTAAGTCGTGAAACAAACACTCTGTGACTGGACCTATAAAGAAAAGAACGGTTCCGGGGAATAATGTCAGTAACACTCGTAGGCAAGTCAGGACGGGGTAGACAATTTTCTCATTATGAAATCAGCATAATGCAATGAAAATAGCAAAGACTACGCGTTTAGTTATGTAACTTTGTTTTAAATTTCCGTTCTAATTTGTGAAAGGCCTGGACGGGGGTAGTCTGCTACACAGCCGTTTTTAGTGTCGTCACGCAACGCTCCTCCCCACTAACGGCTGCTGAAAACCGAACTACATTCCTTTCCCGTGATTAGCCAATTATAATTCAGTTCCCATTTTCTGGAAAGTGTTCGCGCCACCTTTGCGGTACTGTGACTCCTCCAATCACAGCTTTGCTTTTATTGTTGCCCCATGTGTGAATGACAGAATAATCGAAATCGTCGCGTGAAAACAAGCAATTAACTACAGTGTTGTCGTAGTCGAGTCCTATTCAAAATTTAGGAGATAAGCAGCAACAGCAAGAAAGTCGAGCAAATTGCGATTCACAACATGGATGTGCTCATAAAGTGGGGAGGAGCGTTGCGTGACGACACTAAAAACGGCTGTGTAACAGACTAGGACGGGGGAGGGTGAAACAGATTTCATTACTCCGTTTGAGCTATTATATTGAAACAACAGTGCATATCAGCCAGCTGTTATTTCAACAGTATAAGAATCTATGAAGAACAAGCGAATAATTCATTATCATATAATTTAAACTGAACTGGAAGAATATCGCGCCGCGCTCTGCAGTACCCGACGAGTCATGGCCTATAGTAGCTAACAATAATAGTAACTGATTTTTGGAAACACCATTTATCGTTAGCTATCAGTCACGATCTCTGTAACCTCAACTTCAATCACGCGGAAGTTGTTGACTATTTAATACATTTTCTTCTCCGTTTATTGGCTGTTTACCATTGCGACAATATTCATCAACTTTCTCCCTTCAATATGATATGTTTTTTAGTGTGAAGGACGTATAGGAATATATATAATCCACAGGTGGAAACGTTTCGCATTCGTGGAAACTAGTAGCCTGCTTGGAAGGCCCAACTGAGAAGAGGAAGGAGGCGCAGCGCCAAAGGTCGAGAAAGGGTAAGGGCACAATTTTGATCTTCCAAAGTTTATGTCAATAAAACACATTTACCCCTATGCCTGCTTCATGTTTGAAACACAGAGCAATTTTTAGTCTCTAAAAACAGTAAATGGCAAAAATTATTATATATAAAAAAACTGAATTTCCTTTGATACCTGCATCGCGTTCTGCTAGGCTGAGGCGCTCATGTACAAGTGTATCACCCATAAATGTAATAAAAACCATAAATGTAATACTAACCATAAAAGTAATAAAAGTCAGCCATAAATGTAATACCCACTATGAATTTAATTAATAAAAATCAACTATAAATGTAATAAACCACTAACCATAAACGTAATAAAATTTTAACCATAAATGTAATAATCTGGCTCAACATAAATGTAATAAATGTTAACCATAAATATAATAAGTATAGAAAGTCGCATCAAAGCGAGTTTGTTTCACGGCATGAGAACGAGTGATGTAAGCCTGGGTGAAATTTTACATTTCAAGTACCCGAGCGTTTCGGCGGTACATCGCATAGCCACCCGGACTTTTAGAGATAAAAAACAACAACAACAAAGCTCATTCTTTCTTTCGACTTTATTTTAATGTCTATAGAGAAAGAGCTAATGCCAGAGATAAAAAACAAAGGAGACCAATTTCGTTTTAAGAATAACATGAAATAATTTTATAGTGGCGGTGAGAAAACGAGAAATGCTAGCGGCCACTGAAGGTGAAAATGAGCGGCAGCGAAATTAAAAAGTGAACAACAGGACCACATACAACATTTCCTCCAAAAAACCGGCGGCTGCAGAAATGAGCAAAAGGAAGTTCTGAAAGCGGGTGTCCCTTTCATTCTCTTCCCAATCTCCCTTCTCTTTTATCCTTCTCTTCCCTCCCATTTCAAAGCCTGTTCCTCATGGAGAAGTACGAAGAAATTCAAAACTAAATTAAAAAGGTTCTAGATGATAGATGAACAGAAGTGTTTTTCCTGGTACTTGAAAGGAAGATAGGGGCTTATTTATTTTAAACAATTTAAGGGGGTTGGCCGGGGGGGCTTATTTTGCTATCAGCTTTCCTTAAATAACTATCATAAAAAGTGGAAGCGCTCGAGTACAAGAATTTGAAGGTCATACAGCCGAGGACCAAAAACAAATCCGAACTTCCAGCTGGTTAATAAACCATCCCGGATCAGTCCACCCGAGGTTTTACAGTCGTGATTGATGAACACAGTCATTTATTTATTAATAAAGAATAATAAGGGGGAGGGAAGGGGGGCTTAAAAGAGGGGGGGGGGGTGTTAATAGAGGAATTATGGTAATAAATCCTTTTTGAAAATGATAAAAAATAAAACAAAAACAAAAAAAAAAAAAAAACTTCGCTTGAATGCACATGTAGACTGCAAAACATGTTTTTCTCTACCTACTTTCTTTTCATTTTTAGATACGATTGGTACTTATGGTTGTAGTTATACTTCACGAACTATTCAAACTGGTCAAAGAAACTTCCCACGGCAACAAAAATAGTCTTTGGAAGGCGTCCGACAATGACGACATTTTCCTCTGATCAGCTGAACTTTTTCAAGTTTTCCACTGTTGTTTTTGACGAATTTCCAGTCGCCCTGCGCAAAGTGTTTGAGTTATTGTGGAATAAACAAACCGCTCCTCCACCCGGTTTTCGGTTATGGGATGACATGTCACTGGTTCGGAACTTGTTCCTCAACAAAGAAAGACTGAGAAGAAGAAAACTGAATGTGCCAACCAGTAAATCCTTTATGGAGTGGGACTGTACAGATCTGTTTGATGCCACACTCTATGCTGAAAGCTTTGCCATGCCAGATGGGAAAGGAGGGCTTGCTACCCTAGGGAAACTGTACGTGAAACCTCGTGGCTTGTCACCACCATTTCACCACTCCGTTATCAGCCCTTCTGGAAACCAAGCTGAGACATTCGCCTTAGCTTTGGACCAGCTTCGCTTGCTGCGAAACTCCCTTTGCCACCAAACAAGTACACAGAAGATTGACAAGGCAACATTTGATAACTACATACAGCTTTCCAAAGATGCCATTAGGGCACTCGGACAAAGTACGACAAAAATCGATGATGTGGGAAAGCTTGGTGAGAAAGATTTTCCCACTTCTAGAGTTCAACAGCTAGAGGAAGAATTGAGGAGAGAGAGATTTAAACAGATTGAAGATAATCAGGCCCAAATGGACGCTAAAATAACAAATCTCGGATCAGACATGAAAGACCTCAACACCAGCCTTAAATCAGGAATAACAGATATTAATACAAAGCTAGAAAACGTCAAATCGGACGTGAAAGATGTCGAAACTGAAGTAATTAATGTTAAGACTAAAGTGGAAGGAGTAACGTCGGACGTGAACTTTGTCAAGAACGAGGTAACAACCTTTAACCCAAAAGTAGAAGAAATGCGATCAGACTTGAGAGGTATGAAACCTCTCGTAAAATCAATCGAGACTAAAACGAAAGAGGTCGGATTGTACGTCAAAGATATAAGAACAAGAGTGACTGACATAAAGACAAAAACAGAAGATATCGAAGCACTCGGAAAAAAAATAAAGAATGGTATGGCAGATGCTAGGGCAAAAGTAGAAGATGTTGGGTCTAACGTTAAAGGACTCTCAACTGGAGTAACAGCGGTGAAGACAAAAGTAAAAGAGACCCGGTGGGAGGTAAAGGAAGTGAAAAATGAAGTAACAGGAATGAAGACAAAGGTGGAAGATATCGGTTCTGACGTGAAAGGAGTGCAAAGTGGTGTAACAGATGTGAGATCAAAAGTGGCAAGTCTAGGGTCAGGCATGAAGGATATGCAAAGGGACGTGACAGATGTGAAGACACAACTTAAGAATGCGAATGAATCAGTCAAATCTAGAGTAGCGGAAATCGAGAGAAACGTTATTAAAGACATTAGGTCTTACGTGAAACCTGTAAAGGGGGGAGTGACAGATTTGAAGACGAATGTGCAAGAAATCAGATCAGATACGAAAGATGTGAAAACCGGTGTAGCAGAGGTAAGATCAAGAGTCAGCAATGCCGGATTAGACCTTAAAGATGTAAAGTCTCGAGTAACAGATATGAATACAAAATTGCAATATGTACACTCGGAAATGAAAGAAGTGAACAAAAATGTACCAGGTGTAAAGACAGAGATAAACAACGTCCAGGACCAAGTAACAAAGGTGAAAACAACAGTGGAACAGACGCGGTCAGACGTAAAAGCTATAAAACCTCATTTAACCTCAATCGACACGAAAGTGACTGGAGTCGGGTCAGACGTGAAAGATGTAGAAAACAGAGTAAGAGATGTTAAGGCAACACTGGAAGAGATAGGGTTAAAGTTACAAACAGAAGTAAACGATGTTAAGATAAGAATGGCAGAATTGAAAGAGGAAGTAAGAACTCGGATTGATATCATAGCACAAGCAATGCTACCTGGAATCACAAAAGGTAAGTTTTACTAAACAGCTGAATGCTTGGGCTATCGAGGAGAAGCTAAGAGAAAATAAGTAGGTTGACGTTTCGACAACCTGTGCGGTAGTCATTTTCCTAGTCAAAGTCTTTGTCTTTTATATAGCCTAGATTTGACTACCGCACAGGTTGTCGATACCCTCACAAAACTGACTTTAGTAACCCCCGCCCCCAAGGTTAGGATTTTACGGAGGGTTATAACGCAAAAGTAAATGTCAGAGTATATGTCCATTACGCCTAAATTTGGAGGGCTGGATAGCCCCTACTTACACAAAACTTTACCAAGTCATCCCCCGGAATTGAAGATACTGAGTTAATAATTGATAGTGTTCATTTTTCGACGGACAAAATCCCATTTTATGAACAGGATCTGACGTTCAGGCAGCCTAGTTACAAGGCCCCCATTGAATAGTTATAGCAAAGGAAGACTGGCTACTATGCTTTAGATCGACCTCGATTATCTCAGTCGAATATTGTGAAATTTTGAGTTGGCGCCTAGCCAAATACGATAAAAATATTTTTAACGGTTTATTCAGTTCTAAAGAAAAGCGTTTTGCCAAAAAACTTGTGCCATTATACTGAAGGTAGTACCTCAGACTTGCCCTCGACAAAAAAATGAGCTGAATCGATTTTTGACCGTGGCCACAAACTTTTGATATTTCTTTGATTTTTACAGACATTCACTCTTTAGTTAAATCCTAATCCCTAGCTGGAGAAAACAACCGATGAGTTAGTTGGTAGCGTCGGTCGTTTACTCAGGCCATATATCCTGCCCCCAAAACTGGACTCAGGTGAAAACACTCTAAGTGCTGTCTAAACAAAATGAAGCGACTATTAAAATAATTCCCTAACAAAAATACTGGGATATGCTGATTTATAAAATAACTAAGATAGTACGCGCGTTCTGATTGGTTAAAAACCTATCGTTTATTGTGCCGGTAAACTCATAGAAAACCGAAACATTTTCCGTTTTACTTAAAGTTATTTTATAAAAGCAATAGACCACACTTTCTATGGGTTTACCGGCGTGATAACCCACTTAATATGTTGGAAGAACACTCGAAAAGCTTGTAAAATCACTCGCCTTCGGCTCGTGATTTACAAGCTTTTCTCGTGTTCTCCCAACATCCCGCGTGGGGTTTCACGCCGGTAAACCCATAGAAAGTGTGGTCTACTGCTTAATTAAGGCAATAACTACTAAATTTAGAAAAATGTTTTTATTGAAGGTCATACCCTTGTTAACTCATGCCAAACGGAAATTGTACCAAACTTCTCGTCCCCTGAATTAGAGGAGCAAGAGGTGAGATACAACAAACGACCCTTGGATGATTTGAAAAGCGAAGCAGACGTACCTTCCGGATCGAAAGTGCTTGGTCAAAACGAAGAACACAGCAACTACATGCGTGGCTTGAAACTGCTGAGCCAAGGAGACTACAAAGGAGCTTTGGAATATTTACAGAAAGCTGCCGATCTGAGTTCACAACGGCTTGTTAAGAATCAAGATGTCGCGCGTACGTTTTATCATCTGGGGGTTGTGCAACGCGACACGAAGAACCTTAAAAGTGCTACAGCATCATTACAGATAGCAGCAGACATGAACTTAGACCTGCTTGGTGAACATGAAGTCACAGCTTGTTGCTTTTTTACCCTTGGAATGGTGCAAAGTGACATGGGAGACGACAAAGGTGCCTTAGTTTCCCTACAAACAGCTGCAGAGATGACATTCAGTCTGCTTGGAGTACATAAAGACACGGCTTGTAGTTACTTCAACCTTGGTAGAGTACTGTATGAAATGGGAGACTACAAAAGAGCATCAGAGGTTTTACACCAGGCAGCAAACATGTACTCGAGCCTGGTTGGTGACCATGTGGACACAGCCCTCAGCTATTTTTATCTCGGTTTAGCGCAGCTCATTCGGAAGGCCAATGCAAGGATGCTTTGGAATCTGTACATAAATTGCTAAATATGAAGAATTTGAATTTTCAAGCCGATCACAAACAGACGGAGTATCTTAGTTACCTTGTCCTTGGCTTAGTGCATCGTGCCTTGGGAGACCACGGAAGAGCTATGGAGTCTCTGAAAAAGGCAGCTGTCACGATTTTAAGCCTCCTTCAAGATGACGGCCAAGATAAGGCAGATCACCAAATTGCACTTGGTTTTGTGCAGCTTTTGATGGGAGACGACAAAGAAGCTGTGGATTCACTACACAAAGCCGTAGATATAAATGTACATCAGCTTGGTGTACACAGGGAAACGGCAATTAGTTACTTTAATCTCGGTTTTGTGCAGTTTGCTCTTAAGGACTTAAAACCAGCAATGCAATCCCTTCAAAAAGCGTTAGACATGTACCAAAACCTGCTTGGTGAGCACAAAAGCACTGCGTCTTGCTACCATTGGCTAGGAGTGGTGCAGCACGCTTTGGGGGATCTCGGGCTTGCTAATGAGTTTCTCAAGAAAGCAACAATTATGAGCTCAGACCTCCTTGGAGAGCACGAAAACACAGCCTCAAGTTTTGAAAACCTTGGCCTTGTGCAGCGGGATATGGGGCAAAGCAAAGAATCTTTGAAGTCTCTGGAGAGGGCAGCAGACATTAGATCAAAAGTGCTTGGAGATCACTCACATACGGCGCGTAGTTTCTACCAACTAGGGATCGTGCAGCATGAGATGGGGAAACTTAAAGAAGCTGTCGAGTCTCTAATGAAAGCGGCCGACATGAACACTGGCGATTATGAATTCACGGCTTCTTGCTTCTTTACCCTTGGTATAGTGCAGAGTAAAATTGGTGAAACTGAAGGCGCCTTAGTCTCTCTACAAATAGCAGCGGATATGAGATCAAATTTGCTCGAGGAACTCGAAGACAAAGCATGCAGCTACAGCAATCTCGGTGCATTACTGTATAAAGTGGGGGACCGAAAAAAATCGCTAGAATTAGGCACTGCAGACAGTTACCAAAACCTTGGTGAATTGCAGCAGGTAGCAGGAGACCACAAAAGAGCCTCAGAATCGCTACAGAAAGCGGCAGACATAAGAACGAATGTCCTTGGTGATCACAAAGATACGGCGCGTAGCTACTTCTTTCTCGGTATTGTCCAGCGCCACTTAGGAGATAGCCAGAGGGCGATGGAAACTCTAAAGAAAGCGGCAGACATTCAGTCAACACTGGGTGGTGATCACATAGAGGCGGCAGGCTGTTTCTTCACTCTTGGTTTACTACAGCACAATATGGGAGACCTCAAAGGAGCCTTAGAGTCTCTACAGAAAGCCGCAGACATTAACTTAAATCTGTGGGGTGTCCATGAAATCACAGCACGTTGCTTTAACGTGCTTGGGTTAGTACAGCATGACATAAACGACAATAAAAGGGCAGTGGAATCGTTGCAAAAAGCGACAAACATAACACTTAATGTGCTTGGTGAAGATGAAAACACGGCAGAGAGTTACCACAAACTCGGTGAATTGCAGCGTATAACAGAATACCACGAAGGAGCCTTAGAATCGCTACAGAAAGCGGCAGACATAAGAACGAATGTCCTTGGTGATCACAAGGACACAGCAGACAGTTACTTCATCCTTGGGTTGGTCCATTGCGACTTAGGAGATGGCCAGAGGGCGATGGAAACTCTAAAGAAAGCGGCGGACATTCAGTCAACACTGTGTGGTGATCAAATAAAGACTGCACGCTGTTTCTTCACTCTTGGTTCACTACAGCACAACATGGGAGACCTCAAAGGAGCCTTAGAATCCCTACAGAAAGCAGCAGACATTAACTCGAATCTGCGTGGTGTCCATGAAATCACAGCACGTTGCTTTTACATGCTTGGGTTAGTACAACATGACATAAACGACAATAAAAGGGCAGTGGAGTCGTTACAAAAAGCGGCAAACATGCAGCTTAATGTACTTGGTGAACATGAAAACACGGCAGAGAGTTACCACAAACTCGGTGAATTGCAGCATATAACAGGAGANTTAGAATCCCTACAGAAAGCAGCAGACATTAACTCGAATCTGCGTGGTGTCCATGAAATCACAGCACGTTGCTTTTACATGCTTGGGTTAGTACAACATGACATAAACGACAATAAAAGGGCAGTGGAGTCGTTACAAAAAGCGGCAAACATGCAGCTTAATGTACTTGGTGAACATGAAAACACGGCAGAGAGTTACCACAAACTCGGTGAATTGCAGCATATAACAGGAGACCAAAAAGGAGCCTCAGAATCGCTACAGAAAGCGGCAGACATAAGAACGAATCTTTTTGGTGATCACAAGGACACAGCAGACAGTTACTTCATCCTTGGTGTAGTCCAGCGCCACTTAGGAGATAGCCAGAGGGCGATGGAAACTCTAAAGAAAGCGGCGGACATTCAGTCAACACTGGGTGGTGATCAAATACAGGCGGCAGGCTGTTTCTTCAATCTTGGTTCACTACAGCACAACATGGGAGACCTCAAAGGAGCCTTAGAGTCTCTACAGAAAGCCGCAGACATTAACTTAAATCTGCGTGGTGTCCATGAAATCACAGCACGTTGCTTTTACATGCTTGGGTTAGTACAGCATGACATAAACGACAATAAAAGGGCAGTGGAATCGTTGCAAAAAGCGGCAAACATGAGGCTTAATGTGTTTGGTGAAAATGAAAACACTGCGGAGAATTACCACAAACTCGGTGAATTGCAGCATATAACAGGAGACCAAAAAGGAGCCTCAGAATCGCTACAGAAAGCGGCAGACATAAGAACGAATCTCCTTGGTGATCAAAAAGATACGGCGCGCAGCTACTTCATCCTTGGTGTAGTCCAACGCAACTTAGGAGATAGCCAGAGGGCAATGGAAACTATAAAGAAGGCGGCGGATATGCATTCAACACTAATTGGTGATGATATAGAGACGGCAAGCTGTTTGAACACTCTTGGTTTAGTACAGCGCAACATGGGATACCAAAAAGGAGCCTTAGAGTCTCTACAGCAAGCAGCAGACATAAGAACGAATCTCCTTGGTGCCGATCACAAAGATACGGCGCGCAGCTACTTCCTCATTGGTGTAGTCCAACACGACTTAGGAGATCATCAGAGGGCTTTAGAGGCGCTGAAAAAAGCGGTAGAAATTCAGTCAAGTCTGCTTGGTGATCACAAGGACACGGCAGACAGTTACTTCAACCTTGGTGTGGTCCAGCGTGACTTAGGAGATCACCAGAGGGCTTCAGAGTCGCTGAAAAAGGCGGCAGACATTCAGTCAAAACTGCCTGGCGATCATGAAGACATTGCACGCAGTTACTTCATCCTCGGCGGAGTTCAGCATGTCTTGGGAGACCTCAAAGGAGCTTCGGAGACTCTAGAGAAAGCATCAAAAATTTACTTAAATGTACTTGGTGATACCAAAGACGCTGCTTATTGTTTCCTAACGTACGGTGAGGTACTGTCTGAAATGGGAAATTACAATTGTGTGTTGGAGCCTTTAAGTAAAGCCGCGGAGATCATACTGAATGTCCGTGGTTGTCACAAAGACACAGCAAGGAGTTATTACTTACTTGGAGTAGCACAATTTCATTTGAAAGAGTTCAGAGGCGCATTGGAGTCTTTCAAACAGGCAAGTAAAATGAACCAAGATCTGTTTGGTGCACACAACCCGGCAACTGTCGCTAGCTTACAGTGGCTAAATGAAGTAAAGAAAGCTTTGAATCTACAAAGTCACTGAGGTCCGGCTGGGTTGTTCATTAGAGACTCATTAGAAAATTGTTTCGTAGGCGTTGGTAATGCCGTTTAACCAACACAACGTAACAGGAAACAAAAATAGCAGGAAAAGATCCAAGCAAACGAAAGTGGCCTTGGGATCGGTACACACACACAAGTGAGGTGTGCCAACAACGAAGTAAAACGACTTTATTTCTTCTTTGATGGGTATATGTACTTTCCTTTAGAACCTGTGTCAGGCTCTGAGTGGGAAGGGACGTCGCGAAAACAAGGTCAAGGGAAAATAGGACGAGCCTGGAACAGATTATTTAGACACATGAACATATATATTAACTCCTACCTACCTTCGGTTATATGCTTTTAATCCTTAACTAATACTGACCTTTAAGGGACTTTTTAGTGACCTTTTAGAGGACGAGAACGACTACGAGTACGAGATGAAAGCTTCATTGTACTTTTTTTCACGATAAAAGTTAGTACTGTTTGTTATGATAGGCGAGAGACAACAAACTGGTTAACACAACATCAACAAGCATTAATCTGTTTGCATCCAAGCACGAACTTCGACCACGAGGTCAATTACATAAGAATAGATCACGTGACGTATGCAAGCCAAAGATAACATCATGATACATGTATTATCATAACATCCTCCCCTATATACAGTTATATAAAGAACTGGAAAGTACACGTAAATTTTCTTAAGTCTTGTAATCTTGAAAACGGACTGGAGGCCTTACCATACGGCCACTCCTTGTGAAGGTAGAACTGGATGCCAAATCAGCAGGAAGAGCTGTTGTACTTGAATTGTTTGAAACAGGTCTGGGTCCTTCAGAATGCTTAGTGGGTGATGCACACCGAGTGAGGACCTGACAACCATCCTTAGCATGTGACTGCTGCGGTTACCAGAAAAAACAGCATAGGATTGTGGTCCAATCATTTTCTTGCAAACAGCTTCAGTCCAAATATTTTCATTTAGCTTCTTCATCTTAACAATCTGACCGAGCTGTAGTTCAGGCAGTGCTTTTCCTTTGAGGTTGTCATAGTACGCCTGGTTTTGTCTGGAAGCAATTCAATAAGCGTTTGTTGTGCGTCTTGCGGGGGCACTGTTACAGGTTCAAGCTGCTTGGGTGCCAGCGGTAGCAGGTTGCGCGTTCTTCTGAAAAGCCTTTGGGCCAGATAGGAGTCAACATCCGTAGGTGTATTGCGATAGTTATGAGAGACAGATAAGGATCAAACTTTCTCAGAGCTGCCTTCTTCATGATGATTTCGCAGATTTTTACTGCACTTTATAATTACTCCTTTCTATTGTTTTGTGGGTTGCGGGGCGAAGAGGTTAAATGCCGAAAATTCCAGTCCATAAAACTTCAATACCGGGCCTTGCAAACAAGACTTTTGATATTCTGGACAGCTTCATCATGAACCAGGAGCCAACACCACTCAGCATCTTTAATCTCAAGACAACGCAGCGGCTCAGATACACTCGACTCGATAGGTTTGGAAGGAACTTTGAGAGATAGTTGACCATTTTTATCTGTTGGGGTGGGCATGTCCTTGATAGCGCGGACTTTGTTTGGATCTGTAATGATGCCATCAGCAGTTAACAAAATGTCCCACAGCTTGACTTTTTGAGGATTGAGTGTCAGGTTTAATTTGCGGCACCTTTGGAGGAGTGCGGTTTAATTCTGATCATGATCCTTGATTGCCTAGGCGGCAGTGTCTTCAAACTCACACACTAGTGAATCATCAGCTATGACTTGTACCCCTCGAAGACCTTCAATTGGCTCTTTCATGTTGCGTTGCCACACCTCAGGCGCAGAACTAATGCCAAAGGGCATCCACAACCGACGAAATCTAACAAATGAGGTATTTAAAAACGTGATGTAATAGCTGGAACTCTCTGTGAGTTTCACTTGCCAGAAAGCACTTTTTGCATCCATTACGCCGAACACTTTCGCCTTGGTAAGTCGAGACGTAACATCATGCACAGTAGGTAAGGGATAGTGTGAACGCTTATTTGCAATGCAAATCTTTTGGATCCAAGAAAATGCGGACAACGTTGCGCGATTTCGCGCGCCTTTGAAAGCGCGAAAGTCCTACTGGGATTTTGTCCTTCGCCATTTCCTTTCCGCCTTCCGCCTCGTCCTTATAGCACACTTAATCTCACTGTTAAACCACGGCAAGCGCTGCCTACAGACAACCACTTTCTCCTTCATCGGCGCATGCTTGTCCAGAAGAGATNTGGGATTTTGTCCTTCGCCATTTCCTTTCCGCCTTCCGCCTCGTCCTTATAGCACACTTAATCTCACTGTTAAACCACGGCAAGCGCTGCCTACAGACAACCACTTTCTCCTTCATCGGCGCATGCTTGTCCAGAAGAGATGTTAGTGTCGAATTGTAACGGGACGTTAGCTCATTAAGGTCACTGTATTCTCTTGTGCAAAGTTCGGATTTTTCCACATCCTGGCGTAAAGCATCAAAATCAATTGCCCTGAGTTGACAATAACGAATAATCTTTGCAACACAATCAGGCTTTTCGCTGTTAAGAGAACACAAAACAGATGCGTGGTCTGAGAGATATCGGTCGGCCACAGAAACGCTAGAGATGACTGGATCATGGAGTTAAGTGATCATTTAGAGTTACACAGTAGCTGAGCCAGACGGTCCACTTGTAATAGTACTCCAAAAGACAATTTCGAACGCTGAAATGCTAATTCAAAATATTCTCGCCGTTGTGTTCACCTGTTGTGAATTGTACTAGCTAAAAAAAGGTGTTAAGTCAATAACTGGTATTTTTGATAGGAAAGATCCTAATAGCATTTTAGTGTTTATTAAAAAGTGCATTTCTTAGGGATTTTAACGAAGGAAGTTATTAGAGACGAGACTTTTTGTGTTCCCGTAGCCGGACAGGTACGGACGCTTACGGCTTGACTTAAATTTTATGGCTAAAATATTTAGTATAGAATGTTCAGTTGATGTTTTGTTAAAAAAGTCTCGCAAACAGCTTCTTTCGGAAAGAAACTCATTTTTGAGTTTGTCCTGTTTGATTAGAGTAGAGTGTAAGTTTATAAAGTTGTTCAATTGAAAATATATCCTGTGAATTGTTCGTTAAGATTGTAACATATGTATTGGAATAGTGATCTGTTCAGCTGTCTTACTCTGAGGAAAGACCGCCTTTTTCCGTATGAATTTGTTTACTACTTGAAGCAAATGTTGTAAACTATTTTTAAGGAAAAATGTGAACCTTATTTTCAAGTTACTTCTACTGAACTTGTAAGAACGTTCTTTATGACCAAACTGGTCACTGTAATTTTTCCTAAGTCTCTGGCGTTGTGTTTTTGGAAAACAGTCGGGTTCCAGTATAGAAAATATCGCAAACAGGTTGTTCTTGTAATGACGTATCAACTTAGCGCAGCTGCTCCCTCGAAATTCATGAACTGAATTTGAGTGGCAGTTCGAGCCTAAAACTGTGAACTATGTGTGCCCATAAAAACGCAGCGCTAGAACTAAGATCAGAGAGTTGCTTTACACTGAGCTATAGTGAACGTGTAATAAGAAAAAGGAAGGAAATACAGGGAACTGATTGAACGAGGTATTGACTGAGTTTCTGTATAGCCGCCTGCATAGCTAGTTACCCCCACAATCCGCCTGTCGAGCTATTACACACTTGAGGGTTGAATGGAGATGGAAATTTGGAAGCGAGATCTATTCTCTTGAAGCTCGTTTAGTCTAGAGCAGGAGCAGCCCCCGGTCTAGAGTTTATGGAAAGCCCTCCCAGGAACCGGCCGTCATGAAGCTGGCGTATAACAGAAAAATAGAGCATCTTGTATCAAAGTACAAGCGAAAGATTTCAGTGGAAAGTTTTGCATCGCCGCTATGGCTGTTTTTCCTATCAGTTTTTGACAGTATGGGCGCATAAAAAAATGTTGACTTATCATTGGTCAGTGGAGGAATTAATTAAAATCATAAAATTTCCTGAAAGAGCAGCAGAGACGGGTGTGAGCCCTTTAGTTTTGTTTTCAGACTCGAATTTACGGATTAAACTAGTATTAAAATGAGTCACTCACGTCAGAGTGGCTCTGTGGCAGTAGGCGAACGGAAATGACTCCAAGTAAAACTGATGGATATTAAGAAATCGAGCTTGCCAACACTTACTGGAGGCAATTTTGATTTACGTTGGAGAGTTTTTAGAAAAATCAACACGTGTTCACGAACTATGTTTTAGATTTTTGAACTTTGTCTCTTTGACAATAAGTTAGTCCGCCAGGAGCTGTAGTCTCCAAATAATTTTGGCGACAACGCAGATTTTTAATTGCTGAATAGCAATTTTACTCTCAGTGGCGTATTCTCAGCCGCCGAAATGAGTCAACCGCGCAAGTCAACAGTGNGAGGAATTAATTAAAATCATAAAATTTCCTGAAAGAGCAGCAGAGACGGGTGTGAGCCCTTTAGTTTTGTTTTCAGACTCGAATTTACGGATTAAACTAGTATTAAAATGAGTCACTCACGTCAGAGTGGCTCTGTGGCAGTAGGCGAACGGAAATGACTCCAAGTAAAACTGATGGATATTAAGAAATCGAGCTTGCCAACACTTACTGGAGGCAATTTTGATTTACGTTGGAGAGTTTTTAGAAAAATCAACACGTGTTCACGAACTATGTTTTAGATTTTTGAACTTTGTCTCTTTGACAATAAGTTAGTCCGCCAGGAGCTGTAGTCTCCAAATAATTTTGGCGACAACGCAGATTTTTAATTGCTGAATAGCAATTTTACTCTCAGTGGCGTATTCTCAGCCGCCGAAATGAGTCAACCGCGCAAGTCAACAGTGATAGACTGGCAACAAAGAATCCCGACTGACTCGAGACCTGTTCGAGCCAACGATCGCAAACCCTCATTTTGTCAGTCTCCTTACAGGAGCCCATATGGGGGTCCTGCTCCTTATGATGATCTATACTGACGCTTACGGGGAGGCTCCGCCCGAAAAGTGGTTCTTTCAGTCAGGCTTCCTGTCTATAAACGGGTAGGAATTTTGTGAGTTCATTTAAGTGAATGAAAGGATACCCTGGGTGCCCCGACGTTTCTTCCTCGCACTTCCCTAAAATCGGTATAAGCCGACGCATCTTATAACAGCATCAAACTCGCCGTAATATGACGAGAATAGTTGCTGTCAGGAGCTTCGTAATGAAAGGGGCACAATTTTTAGTTCAATGGAAGGTACAGATGAAATGGGTACTTTTTCTATCAATGAATGGAATATACAAGAGTAAGCTGGGTTGGACCTCGGGGCGGGGTTTCCCCAATGAAACGTGGCTGAGTAGGCCCCTCTGGGGGAAGGGGGGGGGAGCTGCCTTTCTTTTTGTCTAGAGGTGCCGCCGGACCATTATTGCACCATTTTTTTTTACTTTTAGATTTCCTGCGAGTCACTTAAAATGAAGCTGTTTCAAAGGGTTTGGTCATTGTCCCGATTCAAAACGATCCAAATCGCAAGAGAGAATGTCCAAACTCATCCCAATAGAATCTCTTGAGTTAGGAAAAGAAGAAACCGCTCATAAGACAGTGTTGTGACCCATAATTTCCTTTTCATGCGAGTGGGGGTCTTGACTGTTTTCCGCAAAAAAATGTCCTCTTTCAGTAACAAGCGGAAAACTAATTTAACCTGAGACTATTGAACCTCTTTTAAATGATTGCTAAGTAATTCACAAGAATTAAACGTTCTGAAACAAGGCAACAAAAAAAGAGATTTGATTTGTTGTCATGACAGGAATGACAGGGATTACGGCAGCGCCGAAGAGAACAAACACTTTAGAAAAAGGTTCACTTTTCCAAAGTGAAAGGATTCTTTGTCAACCGGCCATTAACCGGACTTAAAACGTAAAACAGAAAAATAGCGCATTCTTATTTTGTATTAAAATGAAAAACGACAGCCTGGAATTATAAAGATGTTCTAAAGAAGGTCATTGGCCACTTTGGCTGTTTTTCCTTTCAGTTTTAATTTTAATATACAAGTTGGAGGTGTGGGCGCACGAAAAAAGTGTTGAAACAGCCGTGGAGGTACCAAAATCGGAACATTTTCTGAAATAATATCGCAGACGGGTGATGAGTCCTTCAAAGACCACCATTGGTTTTATAAAACTTTATTTTTGTTTTCAGACCTCGAATTACAGATTAGACTAGTGAAATGAGTCACTCACCGCGTCAGAGTGGGTCTGAGAACGTTTGTGGGTATGCGAGAGGATATGACTCCAGATAAAACTGATGGATGCTATTAAGTCGAGCCGACATCTCAGTTCTGATTTACGTTGGGTAGTTTTTAGATAAATTGACAGATAAATCCTTTTAACCAACAATATTTTAGATCTTTGAACTTTGTAGCTTTGGCACCACCGCTTGGTATCCAAAAGGCAATTTTGGCAGCGACGCACAGATTTGGCGTAACCTGCGCCGCCCAAATGAGTCAACACCGCAATTCAACAGTGATAGATTGGCAACATAGAATCCCGACTGACTCGAAACCTCTTCGAGCCATTGACCTCCGAGCATCATTTGTCTCTCCAGTGGAGATACCCCCTATAATAACCTACATATACGCTTACGGAGAGGCTCCACCCGAAAAGGGCTCTTCCAGCCAGTGTTCCCATATATAAACGGGTAGGGATTTTGTGAGTTAATTGAAGTGTATGAAATGGTAAACACATTAAGAATTCTGCAATGCTGATCGTACTCAGGAGCCGATCGACTGCTGTCGTACTACGATTAGCATAGTACGTAGTACACACTGAGTGCATAGTAGTATTATCAGCATTGCAGAATTCTGAGTGTGTCTACTTCGTATATTTTTGCTGATCTGGTCTTCTTTAGATACTACGTTTTGCGGCA